CTATACAGTTTTATCATGTGTAGGTTCATGTATCCACCACCACAGTGAAGACACAGAACAATATCATCACCACAAAGATTCCTTAGGCTACCCTTTTATAACCACACTAAACTCCCTCTCTCCCTATACCCAGGACAAATACCTACAAACACAAATGTTACCCATTTTATCATTTCAAAATGCTTATATAAATGGAATTATACAGTATATAATCCTTTAGGATTGGCTTTTTTTACTTGGCATACTGTAGATTATCTAGGTTGTTGAGTGTACTAATAATTCATTCTTTTTTATTGCTGAGTATCATTCCATGATATGGATATACCACCATTTTTTTAATCCTTTACCCACTGAAGGACATCTGGGTTGTTTTCAGTTTTTTGGCTACTGTGAATAAAGCTGGACATTTGTGTACAGGATTTTTGTGTGAGCCTACATTTTCATTTTTCTGGAATAAATGCTCAAGACATTGCCATATCACATGACAGCTACATGGTAAGTTTTATGAGAAACTGTCAAACTCTATTCCAGAGTTCTGTACCATTTCACATTCCCAGTGATCCAGGAGGGATCCAGATTCCACATCCTTGCTAGCATTTGGTAATGTCACTATTTTCAACTCAGCCATTCTGATAGGTATGCAGTGATATCTTACTGGGATTTTAATTTGCATTTCCCTAATGGCTAATGATGTTGAACATCTTTTCATATGCTTATGTGCCATCTGTATATCCTCTTGGGTGGATTGTCTGCATATGTCTTTTGCCCATTTTCTAATCAGATTACTTAGTTTTGTTTTTCAACTAGTGAGTTTAAAGTTCTTTGTGTATTCTAAATATAAGTCTTTTGTCACATATGTGGTATGCAAATACTTTCTCCCAGTCTATAGCTTGTCTTCTCATCCTCTTCTCAGAGTTTTTCAGAGTACAGGATTTTAATTCCAATGAGACTCAACTTTTCTTTTTATGTATTATGTTTTGGTGTCAAGTGGAAAAACTCTTTGCTTGGTTCTAGATCCGAAGATTTTCCTGTGTTTTTATTTTTGCTAAAAGTTGTAGAGTTTTATGTTTTACATTTATGTCCATTACCCATTTATATTCATTTTTTTTTATAAAGTGTGAGGTTTAGGTAGAGTTTCATTTTATTTTATTTATTTACTTATTTATTGCCAATGATGTCCAATTTCTCCAGCATCATTTGTTAAAAGATTATCTTTCCCCCAATTAAACTGACTTTACACCTTTGTCAAAAATCAGTTGGGCATATTTATATGGGTCTGTTATATTATCTTTAAGGTAATTATTCCTATGTTAGAGCTTGACTCTGCCATCTTATTACTTGTTTTCTATTTGTTTACTCTGGTTCCTTCTCCTTTATTTTCCTTTTCTTGCTTTCTTGGTGGTTACTTTCCACTTTAGGATTCCATCTTTACTTTAAGTGGATGTCTATATAGTTTTCATAATGGTTGCTCTGGCTATTACAATATATGTATGTGACTATTATTAAAATACGTATTTTTTGGCCATTGCATTTTATCACTTTTATCATTTCCATCTGGTTCTTTTTTTTTAAACTTCTTTTTCTTTGCTGAGGTTTTCTATTCGTGCATTTGTTTCAAAAGCATTTTCATTTGATTACTGAAGTTATTTTTATGATGGTTACTTTAAAATCCTTGTCAGGTAATTCCAACGTCTGATTTATCCCAATGTTGGCATCAATAGATTGTCTTTTCTCACTCAAACTGTGATTTCCCTGGTTCTTGGTATAATGGGCAATTTTCAATTGTATCCTGGACATTTTGTCTACTATTTTAGAAGACTGAATCCTATTTAGGTCTTGTATGTTAGCAAGCAATCACCCTGCTTAGTTTGTCATATGAGTCCTGGTGTCCTTTTGCGGGCTGTGGTTCCAACGGTAGTTTAATTTTCAGAGCCTTTACTGTGTTATTTGGGTCTGTTTGCTACATCTGATACTGCTGGGGCTCCCACAGGTCCTTGTACCTGAGGGAACAGATGGGGTTTCTTCAGTCCCAGGCCCCAGTGTCTCTGGGTCAGGGAGGGAAGTCTCAGGTTCATGGGAACCAATGGTTTCCGGGACCAGGTTGCTTGTGGTAGGCTCCCTTTTGCCAGGGCCACCCAGCCGTCCCCAGGTTTTGTCTCTTGGTGGCGGGAGGTTTCAGGCCTGATGAGGAAGGAGAGCACTTTTCCTGGCCACTTATTGTTAGCTGAGATCCCAGTTGATCCCCCTTGCCAGTGGAGCCGGGCTGTCCTGGTGATGGTGGAAGGGCCTCCATTAGATCCATGAAATTCGAAGGCCACCTTCTGTTTCTAGGCCAGAGGTCATGGAATGCTGGGCCTGGGTTGTTTCTTGTTTGGCGGGGGGAACATAAGACACCCTGCCGCTGCTCTGTTCCTCTCGTCCTGACGACAAATTAGTTTGCCTTTCTCTTAGCCACTTTCAGAGGTCTGCGCTGTTCGCTGCTTGCATTACTTGCAGGATTTATAGTTGTACTTAGCGTGGAGGTGCAGAGAGAAACAAATCTATGCCCTCATGTCCGGATCATAACTCTGAATGATCCTTTTTTGAAACTCAAGTTACTTACATCATTCCTTTGTTTAAAACCTTATAGTGGCTTCAGATTTCATTAAGAGAAAAGCCAAAGACCTTAAAATGGTCTAGAAAACCCAACATAATTTGCCTTTGCCTTATGGTGACCTCTCTGACCTCGTATCCTATTTTTGCCCCAGCCCCCCCCCATTTATTCTGCTCCAGCCAAATGACTACTTTCCTGCTCATCGAACTATTCCAGAAATTACACACCTTCACACTCATTCATTCATTTGCCTAGAATATTCTTCCTCCTGATAGTCACATGGCTGGTCCCCCAGCTCCTTTAAATCTCTGCTCAAAATACCAGCTTTTCAAAGATGCCTTCCCCGAGTACTTACATCATCACTGCCACCCTTTCACTTACTATGCGTCGAGGAGGTTGTGTGTTGTCTAGAAGAGTGCCTGCCATTTAGTAGGTGCTCAGTAAAACTGTGCTGAATGAATGAATTAATAACAGGATGCTCATTCATGTACAGTGACCCACCTGTCGCTTACTGGGGTTTAGAATGGTTCTGTTGCGGGAAAGAAATCACCCGGAAAGAAAGTGCACTAGACCCTACAAAAGCAACAGCAGGTGGAATAGTTCCCAGCCAAGTGAACACTGGGAGGCAGTTTATTCCCGCGGAGCAATCCTCACTGAATGTAAACTGGTTAAGGAAGCCCCACCCTGCAGGCCCACCTGGCTTGTATGGACTTCATATTGACAAAGTGGCACTCCGCAGAGATGAATTTCTGGCACACTCGGAGAATTAGCATAACTTCTCACTTTGAAGCACAAGTAGTCATTCTCCAGACAATCCATGTACACAAATTACATAAAGAAGACTACAATGAAAAATAATAATGATAAACACATAGTGCTTCCAACATGATAAGCGCTGGTCGAAACATATTCTATTAATTCATGTACTCCTCATAAGAACCTTTCAAGGAAATGCAATTATCATTGCCTCTTTAGATATGTGTAAATTGCTGTACAGAGAGGTTAAAACACTTGCTCACAGTCACACAGCTCACAAGTTACAGGGCTGGGATGCAAACCCAGGCAGGTGGGTTTCAGAGTCTGTACTTTTCACCACCACCCTACGTTGTAAAAGAAACGACCTAAATTGGTTTGTCTCCTCCATAAGAAAAAGAAAGAAAAAAAAAACATAACTCATGAGCAAATAAAATGATAAATATATGGGAAATTCATTCCAAATTTGTTTTTTCGAAACTTAGATTGGAAGATGACCTCTCAAGCAAAAGTTATACTTGCACTCAATTAAATGCATACCATTCAATATAAGAAGCCTGTACAGATTTTTAAAGGTAGCACATTCTCCCCTATTACTGATGAAGTCTTGTACCATATACCAACGTAAAATAAAATCATACCCATTAACAAGCCAACGAATTAGCATAAAATCATATCCACGAACAATGGAGGAAGGTAACATGTATTTGCCGTGTCATTGTCAGGTTCTACACTGTCATTATGAGAAGGCCAATTTAGCAAAAGTAACACTTGCTCTTTCCGAAAGACTGTATAGTTGAAGCTATGTGAAACCGCCCTGCTTGACCGTTTTTGACCTACAATTATGGCAATTTCACACGGTTCAGCCTAACAGATCCAGGCCTCCTTTTTTTTTTTTTTCCCTTTTTCTGAAGTTAGTCCTTTTTTTTTTTTTTTATGGTTTTCCTTTTTATTTAATCAAAGACTGGTGGGTAAACATAAATACAGCACAATTACTTCAGATCATTCTTCATATTGTATACACACAGACCGATGAACGTAATCTGAAAGAAACCTGCAGTCGGCAATGAAATGCATACAGCTTTTCCTTCCCTCGCTCAAAAAAATTTAAAAACACACAAACTTAGAATCTCATCAGCACACACTCTCCTGTGACAAATGATTCAGACATAAATAGTGGGTGCAAAGAAACCATAGGCTAACATATGCAGAACCTTTGTTAATGAAAACCCAGAAGCAGCCGTAAGGATGAAGATACATTCAGTGACTGGTAACTAGTTCTGCCCTGAGGGGCGCCATCGACAGAGATCGTGCTGCAGAGAAAAGCTATGTACACACACAATGAGAAAATAAACTGCAAGATCAACGCATGCATGTTTAATACTGGAAAAATCACGGCCCTCCAAAATTTCTCCACATTTGTTATAAAAGCCCTCTGCACTCAACTAAAATTAAAATGATCTTAAAAGGATAATACTTGTGAAGTTTACTTAAGTCTTTTCAGCCACAGAAACTGCAATGGAAATAAATGTTCAGAGTCATTTTCAAAACAAAAACAAAAATCTATTCTTCTGATGACATGCATGATTAAAAGGTCTATGCAAGATACATTGCTCTACATTCCCAATGACTAGGAAAAAAAACCTCAAGTCAATTTTTAGTTTGCAGATGGTCAAAGGATTTTGTATTCCAGCAGGAGTTCAAATCTTCTGGATCTTTTCACCAGCAACTACTGGATTTTCTTTTCTGATTTTCTCAGCAGCATCAGCTTTGTAACTGTAAGAGCAATTGTGTACATCGGAGTAACGGTGTACACCACAGTAAACATTTCCACGCCGGCATTCAAACCCAGTAAGTCCCACTTTCTTCCTGCACATGAAACAGCGATTCTTTTTTTGTTTTGGTTTTTCAAGAGACTTGCTTTGCTCTTCAGATGGCTGTTGTGCCGTATCTGATACTGAAGCTTGCAGGTCTTCTGTTTCGGGTCCTGATTTGTCCACAGATGTACTGTCCACTTGGGAAGATGCTACAGATTCTGATAAAAGTGACTGATTTGATACAGGGCTTGGCTGCACAGATGCAGATGTGGAGTCTAGTGGTGACTGGGCATCCGGGACGCTGCCGTCTGTGCACTGACGGGTAAAGATTCAGACAGACTACTGACAGAAGCAGGTGGGCTTATTCTACCATTACTACTATTCTGTCTTTGAAGATGTTCTTTATAGCACACTGAACACATGCCATTCGTACGAGGGTTTCCGTAAAATCCGCAGCCAGTGGAACAAAGCATAGGCACTTGGCTGTGATTAGTTTCTTGAGCCATGTTCCTCTGTTGCACACCACCAAAACCTCCACAATTTTCTGCTTGCTTCCCCTCAGATTAACTTCCTGAAGTTAGTCCTTTTTATTCATGGTTTTCATGTTTATATAAAGTCAGAGATTAAAGGTCACCTTGATTCTATGTACCTAGCATACCCTTTTGATATAATATGCTTCTTCCAGGTCGGAAATCAGAAACCAGAATAATGCCCACTGCATAACCTATTTCCTACTGATGTATTGATTTGTTTTCCTAAGAAGTCTTAAGCAGTTACACTCTTTTTTTTCCACCCAGACTTTGCAAGACTAAAGACTTAAAAAGGATTTAAAATAAATCTGCAAATGGCATTATTTCCTATTCCAATTTTCCCACTTACATTTGAATGAAACTGTGATTTACTCCAAAGTTATATTTTCATATGCTTCCCTCTTCTTACCTCTGTTTTTAAATAGGGTTTATCACATGTGTTCTGTAAATGTCCAAGTGTAGCTACATTAGGCATTGAGATCTTCTCTGAAAAAAAAAAAATGTTATTTTTCCCCAGGGTCAGTAAGATTTTCTATCTGTCCTTAAGGAAGATAGAATCATTTATTAATTTGAGTGGGACTCCCCACCAGCTAGAATTCTGATACAATAAAGACGAACACGTTGTAGGCACTCCAAAGGAATGGGTGCATAAGGATCCTGGGAAATCTGGGCGGAACATTGGCTGACACTGACTTGTAGAGTGAGTAAATCAGTGTCCCTCTAATGGAGTGCTCAGGGCATCTTGATGGAGACCTTACTGCCATTGTTTGAATAAAAGAAGCCTTGCTGAAAGCTGCTGGAGACATTAAGAAAAATCAGATATGGCTCCTGTTTTCAAAAGTAGAGAATTTAACCTCATTTTCCAGGGCCAACCAGGCAGGCAGGCCCAACAAGATTGTCCAGAACCTTGGTTTGGGTGACCAACTGTTTTCTCCCTCTCAGCCTTCCGTTCCTAAGGTTCACTGACATAGTTCCCAGGCCCCATGTCCTTGCTGAGTTCTGGCATCTAGATCTGTACTCCAGAGCTCTTAGAGTCCAGTGGATATACTAATTATTTGATAGCCTCCCAATCTATACTTACTCAGGAATGCATCTGCAATCTGAGACACTGGCATTCCTTGGGTACCCCAACTTTTCAATCAAATTGGGCATAGAAAGATTTAAAACATGAACCAGAATTACCTGAACACCTCTCATACTTCAACAATTCTCACAATATATATGCATTCAAATTTACTAAATTCTATTAAAAATAGCTAGCAGGCATGGGGCACTTACTATCTATGCTGTGCCCAGTGAGTCACATGTGGGATCTCATTAGATGCCCACAAGATTCTTACGAAGTAGATGTATTGTTCCCAGTTATCAGCAAAAGAAACAAAAGCTCAGGGTGGATACATGGCTTCCTCAGGGACACATACAGTGTTTGAGCCAGGTTTCAGACCCAGGGAGCTGGAGCTCAGAGTCCATGATCTTACACAGGGTATCTCACAAAAGAACAATTATGGAGGTCACGCACTAATTCTACAAAGTAAGTAAAGAGATGGCAATGAACTGAACGTTTTAACTTCAGTGACTCCTCACCCAATATACATTCACCAGATAATGGCCTTCCTTCCCTTTCATTGAATGCTCTGTTGGCTCAGTTGGATATAAATACGCTGATGCCTGCATCTTCCCAGAGCACACTCAGCTTAAAAAAAGATGAGCTCAGAGTAAGAACTGATCCCTTCCCATGCTTCATTGACAAAACCTACCGAACTCTCCCTCGGTCAAACTCATGTGTTTCTCATCCCAGAAAAATGCACGTTGTGGCCCAGGCTAGAAGAAGAGATCTGCAGTGATTTCCACCTCTCTACTATGGAAAATTCCCCATGATCATTTTCCTACAGTGAAGAATTCTGAGGTTTAATTTCCACTTTCCCTGTGTTCTTACAGATTTTGAATTATTTCCATGTTCCCAACATAGGACTACTGAAAAAAAAGAAAAGAAAAGAAAAAGAAAAACAGACTATATCAGGTACAGAAAAATCACTTCAAAAGTATTTAGGAAGAGAAAAAGCAAAAAACACAAAAAGCGAGAGCGTGATACCAGCAGACTCTAGCCTTGAAGATGAAGAGTTGCAATTGCCCCAAGCCAGCCTCATCCTCAACACATTTTGGTCTTAAGAGCCGTTGCTATGAGGATGCTGCCCGAGTGCATCCCAGGTTGGAATGTGGCTCTACTCTCCCCAACACCTCACAGGGATCTACTCACCCCAACACCTCACAGGGATCTACTCTCCCCAACACCTCACAGAGATCTACTCTCCCCAACACCTCACAGGGATCTACTCACCCCAATACCTCACAGGGATCTACTCTCCCCAATACCTCACAGGGATCTACTCTCCCCAATACCTCACAGGGACCTTTTCCTCTCGGAACATCAATTGAGGACCCCAAAGTCTAGGGAAAGGAGAGAGACACCCCCCATCTCAGTGCTGTGTTAACACAATTAACACAACTGCCTGGCTAAGATATTTAACATTACCTCAATACTTCAGAAGGTGAGGAAGCCATTGGTCAGTTCTGCCCCATGGAGACATTTCACTATTACAGACAGAATGTTCCATACTTTGAGGAAACATTTCTTTTTCTGTATTTAATTGCAAAAGCAACCGCAAGTCATTCCCTTACGCGGACCTGTGCCTCTTTGCAATGTGACTTTGCAGACCTTGTCATTAAGAATTGGCATCTATCTCCCCACCCTATGAATGATTTGATTGGGCATCTAAAATGTGGCAGAAGGGCCAATATGGCCATTTTGATTCTAAGGCCTGGCAACTTCCATCCTCTCTCAGAACTTGGCCAATGCACAAGGCTGGACTAGCCTGTGGGAGGATGAGGGACCACATGGGCCAGATTCACGTCAGGCTGGCCACCCCAGGCTAGCCACCCCACCTCTCACACGTGAGAGGGCAGCCCTGCTCAGCAGAGGCCCACAGCCACCCCACAGCCAACTGCGGATACCAGAGGGACCAGCTGAGCCAGAAAAATGACCTACCTGAGCCCACACCAATTTATCAACCCATATGGGAGTGTATAGTTGCTGTTTTAAGGCACTAAGTTTTGGGGTGGTTTGCTATACAGCAAAAGTTGGCAAATATATATGTTCTATAAATAGCTCCAGCAAATAAGTAGGGGGAAAACATGATACAGGGGAAATCCCTCTCCACACACAACTTAAAATTTGTTAGGAATAAGCAAATGTTGCCTTTTCTTTTGTCAAGTAGATAGATTTATGATACATTCAACTCCACCACTATAGAACAATACAACTTGAATTAAATCACTAGTATTTTAAAACTACTTTTTTTTTTTTTTTGAAATGATGGTGTGATATAGTGGAATGAATATTGGTTGGTAATTAAGAGATGTGCATTTTCACTTGGGCTCTTCTGGAAGCTGGGTCACTGTGGCAGATCCCACTCCCTGACCCTCAATTATAGGAGAGAAAGATGAAGGGATTGGCTGTGAAAACATTTAAGGCCTCGTCCAATTCTAAAATAAAGGATTTTATGACATTTTTTTTTTGTTTGAGACATTAGCATATTTTTTATCACTGCATTTCTATGAGGGAATAAGAACACTTCATTCAACCCTCCAACTTTGTCATTATCTTCAACGTGCCCAGTCATGAGGATGGAGCACTGAAGAGGACAGACATGCCCCAGTGGTGTGCTGGAGTTTTCTTCTAAGCTCGCAAGAGCCAACTGTGTCCTTTTCCCAAATATGTTCAGTGACGATGTGTTGGTAGCTTGGAATCAGATGCGGCAGGAATATTTAAACCGTGGATATCAGCAATTGCTACAAATCAGTTTTCCCACCAGGACAGCCAGTTGTTCAACATTAACCAGGACAACCCTGGACTCTTCACTTATTAAGTCGACATCCTAAAAGGGGAGCTAGACATTACATAAGTAAGTCTGAAATATTTTAGTACAGTCGAGAAGTGTGGTGAAGCAAGGGAGAGGGTAATGCATGAGGAGACAACACCTACTCCAAGCAGAGGGTAAGTACTGTGAAGATTTCATCCAGAAAGGAATGTGCTGTGTCTGAGGAAATGGAGGAAGGCCACTGTAGTCAGTGTGGCTGGAGAACAGAAAGCAAGGGGCCAAGAGCTTGAAAGGAAGGTGGAGAAGGAAGTGTTAAGAAAGACTTCCAGAGTTCAGATTGGGCAACCCGGTGAAGGGGGGGTGCCTTTCATAAGGCCACAGGACCAGGTCAAGGGTGCAGGGAGGAAGAGAATGAAGCCAGTCTTAGAATGGGGTTTCAGGTATCTTGGGAGCTGGGGGTTAGATAGTGTGGTAAAACAGGGCCACTGTGTGAAGGCAGTAAATGCAACTCTACATGCGGATGAGAGTCTGCTGAGTGGAGGACTGCGTGTCAGAGCCAGCAAAGGAAACTGAGTGGTCAAGGAGGTGGGGAAAAGTCTGTGAGCAACGAAGTCAAGAAAATGGGGCAATCAAAATCTAAAATCTAATAAAAGATCAAGCACAAACAGAGCTAAAATGGCCACTAGGTTTTACAATATGAAGGCCATTGGTGGCTTTAGAAAAAAGTCTGGAGGAGTGATGGGGACAGAATCCAGGCTGATATGGACTGAGGAGACAGTGAGAGGTGAGAACAGTGAACAGAGGCAGAGAGTACAGGTAAAGTCTTTAAAGATGTTCTCTGTGAATGAAAAGGAGAAAGAAAAGATAGCAGTCAGTTAGAGTCAAGAGAGGGCATACGGCTTTCTTTGAAGAGGAGAGAGGCCTGTCGTGTTTAATATTGATTGTCTAGACCTGGTTAAAGGGAAATACTGACAACACAAGAAAGAGAAGAGATAAATGTTAGCGTCAAATCATTGAGAAGTCAGGGTCCAGGGCCAGAGAGGGAGGAATGGCCTGGGAGGGGAGGAGGGAAACAGGAGAGATAGAGCTGAAGACCAAGGCGGACTTCTGGAGGTGGCGGCAGCAAGGAAGTAGAGATGTCCTCCAGGGCGTCCTCTCTCCTC